TTTCTATTCACAAAAAAAAAAGAATTTGGGATCAGAAAATGGACTTTCCCCGTCTCTCTTTAAAAAGCCTACGTTCCCTACATCAAATTTAAGAAATGGAAATCCATCACCCTTCTCTGACCCCTCTCCCCTACCAATATTTAAATACAGTTCCTAAGAGAGAAACACGCATCGGATACAGTTTATTCTGGGCTTCTCTGCTATTTGAGCTACCTGCAGAACAAAAATGTATGAAACAGAAATATATGTTACCAGTTTCACCAATGGGAGTAATGAAGTGCTCATTAGCATTAAATATGGTAAAGGAATTTCATTCATGACTATTCTCTGCTCTCTTGGGCTTGATTCAGAAAGACACTTCAGAAACGGTGCTCTATAGCTCGTACTATGGAGGTCCATATGATACTGTATATTCCCTTCCATCAGCCTAATTAGAAAGCATCAACTTCCTTTCTGTATCCATCTGCATGTCTCATCTCTCCCACCTCATGTCTGCGTCTCGTTTCTCACCCACACAGACATGCTCAGAGAAGAAAAAGGATTAAGGATAAGGACAGCCTTTCTCTTTTCTAATTCTCCGACTTGATTTTGCCCTTCATTTCCAGTGAGTCCCTCATCAAGTGTCACTCTCAGCCCATCATTTTCCAAATCTTTCTGTGGTTAAATGCAGCACTTGATGGGTAAGGAGCCCGGTGAAAACCACAAATTCCTATCTTTCACTGAATTTGATCACCGCTGAGATATGGTCTCATCCCGCCCCATGCTCTCAGCACTTCAGCAATCCTTCTATCTAACCACTCAGGGAGATGATTGCTCCTAGATGAGCACTATGTACCTGGAGTGTATGTTGTGTAGTGCATATATGTGTGAGTTCACATGTGAAAGTGTTTCACAGCAGAATGTTTGCATGAGCTGTGAGTGTAAAAGCATACAGCTGACCTTCAGGACAGTCTCTTTCTTACGCTGACCTTTTTTCCCCGATGGAAGCTGCAGGGGTCAGGATGTCTATTCTCCAACTCCCTGAGATATGGCATTGCCATGACAACACAAGCAGGACTTTTGATTTTTTTCTTTTCTTTTCTTCTTGCTGTTATTACGTCAACTTGCTGAAACAAAGCCTGACATCGTTACATATTCCAGCCCAGATCAACTCGGCATGCATTTATGCAGGAAGTATATCAGTCCTCTCTGTGCTGTCAAACATATCACACAGCAACCAAAAAGTCAAACTAAGTAACACTTCTAGACTTTTTCATTCTGAAATTAGTTACCACAGCAACATACACAATATACATCTCATTTATAGATGGATGGCGTGTAAAAAAAAATGAATTAGCTACTACATTTGCTTGGAGCACTGTTGGCAGCAGTGCATACAACTCATACAGCCAATAATGGTCACAGTGTACTGCTGTAGTAGTGCCGTGTTTCCTCTGCTAAAAAAAGAAGGAGCTTGATGATCAAAGATATCCACATTTGTTACACTTGTAGTTGCATAATTCATTATCCATTTATCAGCTCCTCGCCAACATCTGTCCTGCTTCTTCCCTTTACTTCAATCTGATCCTTTTTTACTTTTCACATCTAAGTTAACGCGACAGCAGGGAGAACCTGTCTCTTTTTTCTCAAACAAAGTCTTATTAAGCATCTAAAAATACACCTGTTTTTTATACTTTCATCGTCACAACAGGTCATTTCATTCACATACTGTAGTCACAGAAAGGTTTTTTGTTCCCTGTCTGATTATGTGCAGGGTTTATGTTCAGATTGGTTTTGTGTGGCTCTTCTGCGAGGTGAAGCCTAACTTATTGTTGTTCAGCCACTGTGACCGAGCTCAGCCAGGACTGCTGTCATCAGCACAACCTCCAGTACTACATCAGTGCTGTAATTGATCTGCCACCATGTCCTCTCAGAGAGTTCTGTGCCTCTCTAACACAACTCTCTGTCTCCCTCCCTCTCCCAATCCCTCCCCTTCCCGCCTCTGTGAATCGTGTGTTTTATAATTACCTAATTATTTGATTGTGTGCACCAGCTGAGAGTAAGTATTAGAGTTCACAGAGAGTATAGACGACAGTGTGTGGATGGTAATACATGTTGTTTGTCTATTTGTCTACCACAATGTTGTTTCCCTTTTTCTGGAATCCCTGCAGAATATAACAAGTAGAGTATATAGACATCTATATAGAGATGGACATAGACCAATATCCAGAGATGGCAAAAGTAAACACAACTGACCTCCCTTTATATTAATAGAACAATAATGTCATTGTTAGCAAATGAATGTTTTGATGCTGAACAACGGCAACATGACAACGTTTTCATTGGTCCCTCTTCTTTAGAGAAGACCAGGAAATGATGGATACACGGATCGTGTTCAAATCAATAGGCACGCAATGACTCTAAATAATAATGATCACGCCACCAAACACACATTCAAACTAAAGGAACCAGCCTGTTTGGGAAATGTAAGAAGTAGAAAGTACAGGTATTTGTGTTCAACATGTAAGAAGTAGAAAGTACAAGTATTTGTGTTCAAAATGTAAGAAGTAGAAAGTACAGGTATTTGTGTTCAAAATGTAAGAAGTAGAAAGTACAGGTATTTGTGTTCAAAATGTAAGAAGTAGAAAGTACAGGTATTTGTGTTCAAAATGTAAGAAGTAGAAAGTACAAGTATTTGTGTTCAAAATGTAAGAAGTAGAAAGTACAAGTATTTGTGTTCAAAATGTAAGAAGTAGAAAGTACAGGTATTTGGGTTCAAAATGTAAGAAGTAGAAAGTACAGGTATTTGTGTTCAAAATGTAAGAAGTAGAAAGTACAGGTATTTGGGTTCAAAATGTAAGAAGTAGAAAGTACAGGTATTTGTGTTCAACATGTAAGAAGTAGAAAGTACAGGTATTTGTGTTTAAAATGTAAGAAGTAGAAAGTACAGGTATTTGTGTTCAAAATGTAAGAAGTAGAAAGTACAGGTATTTGTGTTCAAAATGTAAGAAGTAGAAAGTACAGGTATTTGTGTTCAAAATGTAAGATGTAGAAAGTACAGGTATTTGTGTTCAAAATGTGAGAAGTAGAAAGTACAGGTATTTGTGTTCAAAATGTAAGAAGTAGAAAGTACAGGTATTTGGGTTCAAAATGTAAGAAGTCAAAGTAAAAAGTCGTACAGTAACGAAGTATTTGTACTCCACTACTTCCCACCTCTGCCAATATCTGATAACACATCTGATCAAATTACTATAATGGCAAGTAAACATGTTTTGATAGTGTTACCATTTTTGGCCTTTCATTTTTTCGTTGGGCAGTTTACAGATTCCCAACAGATTCTATAAACTGACTTTCAGATCTCCAAATCACTTCTAAGATGACCTTCAGGAATACAAATACTATCCATGAATGTTTCCCCTTCCAGTGCCATTGGACAAACTGTAGCTCTGCACCCGATTACAGCAGCATCAGATACACCACAGAGCAGAGAGCAGTTCACGTAGTTCACTTATATCGAGCCACAGGACACACAGAGGAGCACCTGCTAATGACTACAGACTCCCTCACTGCAAGGATAATTAGAGGGTGGGAGTCCTATTTGAACTTAAAACTGCTCATTCATATTCAGAGTGATGGTTTAAAGATACATATTTGTCTACCTAATGACCCTCTTGGCCGAAAAACACTACAAAATGAGAGGAAATGTGATTTTAATTTAAGCCTATAAGAGTATGTGGAAGCAGTTTTACTCACAAGCAAACAAAAGATACTCTCCTTACAGGGAAAATGATATTGAGTTCATTCATATTCTGCGGTTATAATGTGCCTGGTTCAAGGCATAAGGAAAATTCCTCATATAACTCTTGCATAATTATGGTTGTTGATGGAGACACCCAGAAGTCTTTCCTCTGAGAACAAACACAGAGTTATTCCATGTTGTCAGAATCACTCAAGTGTCTTGGGGTGTCTTGTTGTGTGTTTTTTATTAAATCACGCTGCGACCACACCGCCCTGACTTGACGTGACAAAGCTCTTTGCCCTCCCTGCCACCGACTCATCTATGGACTGAACCTGTTTCTATGGCACCACCGTTACTTTGAAGTGGTGTCTCTTCAAAGGGACACAACCATTAAAATCTCCGTAGCCTACCCCCTGCAATTCGTTGCCTTTAAATGAAGCAGGATGTTCTGTTGCGGTGTAAAATCAAATCCTGGCATTGGCTAAACTACCCATATGGCATGTTAGAGAGGACATGTTGAGAGAAGAGTGTCTCCTGCAGTGATCAGTATGGATTTATCCCTCTTGAGCTGGTGTTTTTCCAATGCGCCCATGACAACACCCACACATAATGTTCATGTTTTCCATGCTGGGAACATGCTTGCACTTGAGCATATAAGAAAGACAGTTTGCTTGCACTGTATTATATAAAAAAAACATTATTAAAACATATTTTATTGCAGATGTTTTTACCCTATCTTGATACTACCTTCTCTTTTTCAATGTCTCTTGAGAGAAAAAGCTCATTATAAAACACTTCGCACCCTTGCCTGTCTTCCTCCTCGCCTGTCTTCATCAGACATCCCCAGGGTGAATCCTTCACTTACATACAAACAGTCTGTTGCCTCAGCTATCTACCATTTATCTCTTCACTTATCTATGTTCTTCCTGCTCTACAGTAAACATCCAATCGTAATTTGATAATTGCATCCTCTTACTATTGCTGTACTCTGCCTGGTGGTTAAACCATGAACATTAAACGATTGCTATATATAGAATTAAATTAAAAATGGTTCCAAGACTGTCACTTCCTGTTTTGCCCCCAGTATCTTTTTGTCCCATGGGCAGGAACTAAAGAGAGCAATATTGTGAGCTGTGCACAGATGATTTCAGAAATTGGCGCTACCAAGACCAGACTAAAAATAAAACATGTTAAGTGGCTTGGGGGAGAGAAAAGAATGGGCTGCTTCCCAGGCACACTTATTACTCTTTCTTACAGTTTGCTTTCTTTTCTTTCATTTCAGATTGAAGAGACCCCCATCTGCTCAAAGACAGCTTTGTTAACTCATAGTCAATGCAAGATAAGTGGCAAGTTAAAGTGAAACTGCTTCCTTGAGATGACATTTTGTCCTTGGAACAATCGAGTGAAGGGCCATCATTACACAGTTTCTGAAGACGAGAGACAGGGAACACTTGAGACTCCCTAAATGGACTCAGCACCCTGCAGGTGTCTTTGAGCGTGCAAAAAGAATCGATCGAACATGAGCATCCCAACTGGTTTCCAGGGACTTCGGGTCAATGTTGAAAAAGGAGAAAAGATTGGAAACAAAACCCAGATCCAGTTTCCCCGATCTGGGAATGATAATGCTTATCGATTATCTTCGACTACCGATCAAGAAGGAAGAAGATTGACACATGACACAGGATATAGCACAAGCTCCATTCCTCCTTTGGTTTCACAACGTGATTCCCCGGACAAGTTAGTGATCTGGGGCTCCGAGCAGCGTTGTTTGGAGCCTGACCTCGAAAAGTTTGAGCTTTTGGACTGTCAGGAGATACATACATTCTTGGGAAACAGAGATCAGGATGATGACGATGACGATAGAGGAAGTTTGAGGGACGGAAGAGATGACGGTCCCATGTCCATATCCTCAAGCTCAACTGCCAGCTCTGCTTCGACCGGCGTGAGGAGAAATGACAACGACAACAACAAAGTGGAGAGCAGAACACACCGGGACGCAGAGGTGCAGAAAAGGATTGCCTGTCATAGCACTGAAGACTTGGACATATGTGTGACAGGCTCAATAGAGAAAAGGGACAGCAGGTCAGGTAGAGACAGGGAGAGACGGAAGGGGGGTCTGAAGGAGTCCAAGTCTGAGACAAATGTATTCGTCTCCAGTCTGTCAGCTGTTTCTTTCAGCGGGAGTCTGTCAAATGTGCTGGATAGTGGCGGAGAGGCGCAGTCACTCATCTCTCTGTCCTACTCCAAGACCAACCCTTATTCCCATACAAACCAAACTACCTCAGCCCAGACCAGAACAAGGGCAGGCCCTGTGGATGCCAACCAGAACTCCCCGCCACCGTATTCTCAAGAGAAACACGACCATCCTCAACTGTACAGGCAGGATCAGAGACAAGAGGATGTAGGTCAGTATAGAAATGGATTGTCTTTTGACGGTGGGCTGGGCCAAAGGAGGAAGGCAGGATTTGAGGAGAGGGTGCTGCCACCAAGACGACAGCAGCTTGTCAGACCCCTCTGTCAGACGGAGATGGGAAGAGCCAGGAGCTTAGCAGAGCCCAACACTTATCAAACTCAGACAGGGCAACCTTCTTCCCCCAACCCCTTCCCAGATTCAAACAGGAAGTTTACAAAGTCAGCTTTACGTGAACCCTCCGATTTCTCCAACCTGTACAACCCTACTGGAGTCTCACAGCCCAGGCAAAGCAACCAGGCACCTCCTCCTGTAGAAAAACAGCCTGCTACAACTGCATGGCGAAATTCAAGTCCTTCCACTATTGAGAAGAGACCCCAGACTCAGTTCACATACAGAAGGAATTGCTCCAGTCCCAACAGGATGGGGATTGATTCAAGGTCATCTACCCCTCCCCACTCTCCTCTCAGGACACCCCAGGGTTCACCTCGCAGGGAACCCTCCATGTACCTCGTTTCCAGGAATATCCCTGGAGTGGTTCGACACCTCCCGTCAGGATGCAACCCTGCTGTAACAACATCAGCTCAGGGCTATGGCAACAGTTGCATGAGAGCACCGGTGAAAACCAATATAAGCACAAGTGGAATTCCCAAAGTGCCTCCTAACAACCAGCAGAGCTCCAGCCACAACCCCAAAGAGAGCTCCCCATCACCTAAACTCAGACCCAAAGGAGTCCGGCCCAAAATCATTACCTCGGTCCGAAAGAATCCTCAGTTTAAGCCCCAGGCTGCTGACGGACCTTATCAGGTTTCCTCTCTACCATCCAGGCTGTCAGCGTACACACACGGCCAAACAGCCCCCTCCTGTAAAGACAATACAAATGACCCCTCCAAGCCAGACTCAGACACCAGAGGACTCCCAGTGCTCAGTGCCTCCAATCTGCTTTATGACAAATACCGCCAAGACATGCAGACAAACATCTATCCATCAGGAATAATGAGCAGGAGTATCAGGCCGCCCGGACACACACACACCGTCCCGCCTGCACACACACACAGCCATTCAGCACCCCCGAAGCTAGGCAGCAAAGCAGACTCCTTCTACAGGGCACCATCAGAGGTGAGTAATATTTGTCATAACTATGAGTGTTGGATTTCAAGGTTTTATAATAAATGTTTCTTAAGGCAAGGCAAGTTTATTTATATAGCACTTTTCAACACAAAGCAATTCAAAGTGCTTTACAAAAATGAAAGACATTAAGAGCATAAAACACATTAGAAAACATTAAAAAGCAAAGATATTAAAACATGAATAACACAGGTACATGAATAAAGGTTACAGTGCAGTGTAAGATGTGAATAGTTCAATTAAAAGCAGCGACAAAAAGAAAAGTCTTCAGCCTGGATTTCAAAGTAGTAAGAGTTGCAGCGGACCTGCAGGTTTCTGGGAGTTTGTTCCAGATATTTGACAGTATCCCGAACCACATTCTTAGATGAATTCAACTTTCAGAATGATTTCTCTTGTTGTTCTGGCTTGTGCTCATTCTTATTGAAAAAAGGCCTTTCTAGGATTAAGCACAATCACCGTAACAGTGAAGAAAGGATGAGATTCAATTACGACGGTTCCCTTTTCATTAGCAGGAGAGAATTACTTTATTATATCCGTTATATCACACACATCACGTACAAAGACAAACCTATTCTGTTCAGTTTGTTGATTCTGTTTCATAGGCTGAAGCCCATGGTTTCGCTCCCTCAGTAGCCCATGTATAATTGATCAAACAACTTTTGCATTTTATTCCTACTCTCTCAAAAGCTGCTCATTATCGCCTCATAATCATCCCTTATTGATTCTGATTAAATAGCTTCATTTGGCATTCATATTCCTACAGCATCAAACACCAACACGCAGAAATAAATAGTTAATGCATGTTGAAGAACAAAGCCCCGAGGGACAAGAGGAATCTTAATGCCTTCTGTGTCACTGAATGTTCGTTAGCATTTTGTCCTGCACACAAGCTCTAGAGAGAAACACTTGCTCTTGAATTAAGCTGATGATGTTAAACAGTTCATGTTGCCTGATCTTAGTATCCCTGCATGTCATTATAATGTTTAACACTTCTACTCACAGCATACAGAAGGTCTATGGACACACTCCAAGATGCAGAATTGTTGTTATCTACTGCACATGGTTATAAATATACTGTTCTTAAATGTTCTGTTGCTGTCTGTCCAAGCTATTATAGGCAAAGTATATTAGGTTTAACAATACTAATATCATGCTAGCCAGTCTTGGATGGTAAACACATAAGGATGTACGCAAATGTAAGCAGGAAGCCCTGTTTTTATGGCACAGACTATTCCAATTGTGAAAGCTTAACGTTTTTTTTTTTACACCAATAGCAAACACATGCATGAATCAAAAAAGTATTCTCTCTTTAACTTTGAACCGTAGCCTGACCCATTTCTTTTCAGTTGTGGTCCAAGGGTACAGCATCGATTTTTCACAGAATATTTATAATAGTATTTGTCATCTAATTGAATTACTTTGAACTCCAGGTTGGACGGTCTGCCAGTTTTAAAGCGAGTTCTGGTGAGGACGCGCTGCAGTCCCGCACGGCTGCCCAGGCGGGGGGGAGCGGCAGCCTCCTGCGCGCGGGGCGGGGGATGCGTCTCGGTCTGGGAGCTGTTGCCAGGACGACCACGTGCTCAGCCAAGGGCAGAGTACCCGTTCAAAGTCAGAGGTCAACACTGGTCTTCAGCCAGCCAGTCCAACCTGTCAACCCAGCAAGCACTCAGAAAATCCAAGATAACACAGGTAAGAGATTTCCCCACATTATGTTTTAGAGTGAGTAGACATTTCCTCACAGAATATCAGACGGGTCCTTTTGTGTTACACTGTCTGTCAGATCTTATTCAGCAACCCAACATCTGACACACTAGAGAGCTACCTCTTCCCCATTGAAACATATTGGCTTGAGATGAAGGCAGCTCATTAATATGCATTTTCTGAGATTTCCTTTTGGCTGATCTGATTGGAGGGCTTTAAGAAGGAAATACTCTGAGGGGACTTTTTCTGCTCCAGAAGGCTTCCACCTACAAAACAAAAATGAATAAATAAAAGCTTGCTCACGTTTTCTTTCCATACACAGCGAAGTCAGATGAATCACATGCCACATCTAACTGCTGAAGTCCGATTTACATCACAGCTCAGCCCCTAAGACACATTTGACAGAAACACAGAAACATGCATGTTCATACGTACACTCGCAGATACAGATATGTTTAGCATATAGTAATGATGTGCCAGGCTTCCTCATCATAATCCCCATTAATACATATGTATGTTGTCTCAGTGCTGCTTGGCCCTCTGGAGATTACAGGCTTTGAAGTGAAATGCAATTAACGTTTAAGTAACGTCAGTATCTGATGCCTCGTCTCTGCTGTTCCCTGCCCAACACACACTGAACGGATAAACACCAGCTCACACATGCACTGTTTATGTAGCATGTACCTGTACTTGTGTTTGTCAGGTTGTTATGAGGGGGTTTCTGTTGATTTTATTATTGTTCATTTCATCCATGTATGGATACATCTGAGTAACCCTTGTGCCATCAAACACGTTCCTTTGTTCCCTTCATCACTGTTAATTACAACGTCTCAGACTTAAGTGAAAGGAAATCACTCCATCTTGCATACATACATTATAGTAATTATACTCTGTATGGCAGTCAAAATACTCAAACTACTCACATAATTACCATGTAGGTTTGAAAGTTGTTATGATAATGAGGATCATCCACTTACTGGACAGTATTTTTGTGATCTGCTATAACTTCTGCATATCGAGACTCTCATCTTCACAGCAGCTCTACTTTGCTCGAGTAGTTCTACCGAGATTGCAATGCTCTCAGCTATCACATTTAATAATATACAATTAAACGCTTTGTGGAGGAAATCCATGCAGGTTACCTTGTCCTGTAGTTAAAATCGGTTGGTCATTAAAATGCGTATCCCAGCTCATTGACTTTTGTGAAACCAATTGACATAATCATCTCAAGTTAGGATGCTTTTCTGTCAGTAAAGGTGTATGTATGAAGATGTTTTCATTTCTCAGGGGCTGTAGGGAGTGGTTCAGACATAGGGGGGAAATGAAGTGGTTTTATTTTAAAATCTGGAATGGATGAAGGGAGAAAACTGCAAGCCCAGGTGTGAGTTTCAACACCCAGGGTTTTATGATTTATCATGGAAATTCACATTTTCATAAATGTCAGTCTTTTTTTTTGAAAGCCGCTTTGGCTGAGTGTATTTTGCAGGTGTATTTCTTTGAATAAAAAGAAAATGGTTAAGGGAGAGACCGCCAAAATGTAAAAGTCATATCAATATTTCCATCAAATTTCAATGTGTTGTCTTTATATTGTAACACATAATGTGTATCTTCATTTAGAAGGATCTTAGGTCTGTGATTTCTTGGCTTAACCCTTAGATGCACGAGTGACTGGACCCTACACTCTTCCATAAGTGGGTCTAAAAGGACCCGTATTAGAATAATATGTGTCTTTATGCAATTTTTGTCATTTTGGTTAAGAAAAATCTCTTGTATAATATTTAGTATTATATTTTGGTTCACACTAGAAATATTTTATATTTAATATTTCACTATTTATAATTTTAGAAATGTCTTTTACACTTTGAAAAAAAACGTTTTCCCATAGGATTCCATAGAAAATGCATGCGGGTCAGCTTATGGAAGCTTGGGGTACTAATACAAAAACTACAATTTCTTAAAATGTAAATAAAAAATGTGAATGGCATGATATCCAAAACATGTTTTTTGAGGAATAGCTGGAATATGAAATGATACATTTTTTAAATTACAAAGATACTTAAAGAAAACCACCTCACCGGGTCCAAAAAGACCCACTTATGGAAGCTTGGGGTAGTAATACAAAAACTACAATTTCTTAAAATGTATAAAATGTAAATTTAAAATTAGAATGGCATGATATCCAAAACATGTTTTTTGAGGAATAGCTGGAATATGAAATGATAAAAAAAATGTAATTACAAAGATACTTCAAGAAAACCACCTCACCGGGTCCAAAAAGACCCACTTATGCATCTGATGTTTGTCACACTGTTTTCCCTCCCTCGTCTCGCAGAGGGAGTGGTAGGAGGCGAGAGGGAAATGAGGACATTTCTCATTAATGATCCTGACCTTCTCACTCAAGAGGAGCGAGCTCCAATCTAATAAACATTCCACGTGGCACACAGGCAGATATTGAGGAAGGGGGACTGAGGTGATAAGTTACACTGGAGGCTTTTCTCCCTCCTATTGTCCCACTTTGTCTTTCTCCACCAACACAGCTTGTTTTCTCTCTCTCAGAGTTGCTTCCTTTTGGTATTGATGTGGTGGGCACCCTGTAGCCGAACTGGAGCACACAGCTGTGCCAAATAGTTGAGGAAAGGAGGGCGGCCTACCTTATCTCTGCAGCCAGCAGGGGATAATGGTTCCCTTCCCACCCCAAATCTAAACCTTATCCGCAGGCTGGGGTAGCAAAAGATGGGGCTTCTGTCCAAGGCCTGAGGATTTGCTCACTGCCCTCAGTGTACTTGTGTGCAGCCGTGGTTGTTCATGCCTGCACATTTCATCAGTTTTTCAGTTGGAAACCATAGATTACCAAGAGGGAGGATTTCTCCCCATTGCTACCGGACAAAAGCTCCCATTATGGAGCTACGATTACTTTTTCATCCTTCATCCTTTCTCTCTGAGATTCACTGTCTTTTCTTTCTCTGACTTTGTAAGGACGATTTATCATCTCTCTTTTAATCAACCTTCATTTTGTTGGTTTGAAGTCCAGAAACCTGAATGGTAAAGCTATGGTTTCATGCCGTTAGAATCACTGTAATACCTTATATACTAATGAGGAATTACTGATTATGTAATGGCGTTTAAACACGGGTAAACACAACGTATGCAATGGAACAATATATCATCTGTGTCCTCAATTGTTGCTGTCAGATTAAACGTCATAACAGTGTTTGCATTAAAGAAAGTGCTGGCTGCCAGCCCAGTCTGCGAGCACAGCCGAAGCCAAAAGCAGCTGTTAGCAGGTTGTTGTGTTTACTGTTATTATATTTGCTTGCTCTAGCAGTCGGAGTCATAACACTGAACATTTCCTGCCGCCCACTGAGAGCTTAGTCAACACAGGATGATGAATTAATCACTGGGGATAGGAACAGCATAGCTATTTTGAATCGCCTGTATTTTGTTGGTATGTGAGTGTTATTGAGTTAATGAGTCTACAGCCATCTCTCAACACAAACACAAGCACAAGCACATCAGGGGTCAGTGTTGGGTCCTAAATTGTTTATACTGTACATCAATGACATCTGTAGAAATGTACTGAGGCTAGTTTTGTTTGCTGATGATACAAATATATTCTGCTCTGGGGAGAATTTAGAACAGCTAGTGAAGAACATAGAAAATGAAATGCACAAATGGTTTGACAAAAATAAACTATCATTAAACTTGAGTAAACCAAAATGAATGCTGTTCGGTAAACATACTGTAGAACAAAAACACAAATGCAAATAAAAATAAATGGGGTTGAAATTGAAAGAGTCCATGAAATTACATTTCTTGGGGTAATAATAGATGACACAATAAGTTGGAAATTACACATAAAACATGTACAATCAAAGCTGTCAAGAAGCATTTCCATACTAAACAAAGTATCACTTCGCATTCTCTACTGTTCACTAGTCTTACCATATCTGAATTACTGTGCTGAAATCTGGGGCAATAACTACAAAAGTTCTATACATGCAGTATCTATTCTACAAAAAAAAGCCATACGAATCATTCACAAAGCCAAATATCTGGATCACACTAACGAATTATTCCTGCAGTCAAAATTGTTACAATTCACAGACCTGGTAGAATTCCAAACGGCACAAATTATGTTTAAGGCAAATCATAACGTTTTACCAGGAAACATCCAAAAGGTATTCACTCAACGAGTGGGGGGATATAGTTCAAGGAGACAATTTCAATTCAAAATTCATAGGGTCCGTACAACCAGAAGAACTTTTTGTATCTCAGCCTGTGGAGTGAGACGTGGAGCAAAAGCGATGTCCAGACATTAACCAGTTCAAGAGGAAATACAGAGAAATTATTTTCTCGAGGTACAGGGATGGGGAAGGTGTTTGACTATGTGTATATGTGTGAGTATGTAGGTGTGTGTATATGTATGTGTGCATATATGTATATGTATGTATATATGTCAATCAACAGGTAAAGCAGATTAATAATAATAATAACAATAATAATGATAATTATTGCAGATTATAGATTATAAATAAATCATTTAGGGACAAGGGGGTGAGATTAAATAAATTATACTTCTTCTCACTCCTTTTCGAACACTAGATGTGGCATTGTTTATGTTGCTAATGCTGTTGTTGTAAATGTCATTTTCTGTTTTGATTTCTCTTACATGACTATGCACTGCAACATTTGTTTTGTTTTGTAATTATTTATTTTACTTGTTCGAAATAAATGTATCAATCAATCAATCAATCAATCATTTAGTGTAGCCTTTCTCATGGAGCTGTCCGTTCAGCAACACATGCTGCAGCTACAACAACATGAGCAGCTGATTACCAGAAAGGTAGAAACACAGGGAGCTTTCTGGAAGCTTCTGTAATATCAGTTCAGCTAAGGACACACCATGTAACAAACCCAACTCTTTCTTTTCTAAAATGTTTTCAAATATTGTTGCATTATCCTCCTTTTAATGCACAATTTTCATCGTTGTACCTTTTATCTAAATGTATATGTCTACTCTATGCTATTTCTAGTTAGTTTTTATGTTTTTTCCTGGTAACTGTATTCTGTGAGATATCAATTTTCTGTGTGCACCTTGAACTGCACCATCGTATGAAAGGTTCTACTTTTATTCCATTGTATTGTATTTACTTGCACTATTTTATCTGTTGTATTGTGTTGCACTGTTGGTGGAGCCTGGGACCTAAGATGTTCATCGACATAACTACACTGTAGCTATGTACGAATGACAATAAAAGCCTTGAATCTTGAATCCTTGAAAAAAAAAGGCGCTATACAAATAAAGATTATTATTATTGGATACTGAAAGCTTGTTTTTCTTCTTTTCTAGAAGATGAGGTTTTCACCCATCTTGCTCCTCCTCCTGCTCCAGTGTCAGCAGCAGCCCAGCCACAAGCCGTGGCCTCCAGATCTCTGATGCCCAAAGTGAGCCAGTCCGGCCTTCGCCCCCCCGGCTTCAGCTCCAGCCGTCTCCCCGCCGGCCGCCTGGCAGCGTTCGGCTTCGTCCGGAGTTCCAGCGTGTCGTCCGCCTCCTCCGCCCACTCTGCTGAGAGCTCACAGAGTGACTCCTGCAGGACGGCTCACCGTGAGTGCTCTCTGTACAGATCTGTAGTGGTTACATAATGTGCTGGTATCAGAACACCATGAGTTAGCATCAGCACACTGCCTTCATTGCCCTTTTATATATATTCCCCTCATGCATTTGCATAAACAGCCCCCTCCCGCGTTCATTATGTTTCAGTTTGCTTCTTCTTCCTGTGCTCCACCCCGCTTACAATTAAGCTCCAGGTCAATAACAACTGTAGAGCGGCAGGTTTGCAGAGCGCATTTCTGTAACTCATCAGGACACAATATAAGGGATGTTTCTAGAAATCACATTGCTAGTATATTTAATTATAAACAGCTGGGTACATTGATTAGACAAAGCTTCCATGCAATCATTATTGTTTGTGCCTGTGTAATCATGATTAACCCTAATGGGGCGCTAATATTAGTTAATTAAAGTCATCATCATTAAGACCAGTATATTGTCGTTTTACTAATGGCTTCATTTGATGTATAATATGTCTTAGGATTCATGAGTAAAAGGTGATGACATGGTGGGAAGTTGGTGTGATTATACAGTCAAGAAGTCAGGATGAATGGGACTTTGCAAAAAAACGAAAATACAATATGAATTTACAACAAAATCGATTGAAGACGAGTCACGAGGCATCCCCCATTGACGTCTCGGCTTAAAGGTAGGGTAGGTAAGTTTGAGAAACCGGCTCGAGATCGCTAGAATTTGAAAATACACAACCGGAGAAAATCTGCCACTTCCTTATAGAGCCCCTCCTCCAACACACACGAACGCGCACATGACCAATGAGGGCACAAGATAAGTTTGTGCACAGATGGAAGGCTGACAGGCAGGTAGGCCATCCAGTTATTTTAGCCGAGCCGGCTAAAATGATTGGTCGTACTTTTTACAGTACTACGGCACAGATGACATTTTTTTATGGATTTTTTGTCAAAGCACTTAATATATTCATTGTTATCGGGATGTTAAGAACATTCCATGGAATATAACAAAAAGTGTATCTCGAGCCGGTTTCTCAAACTTACCTACCCCACCTTTAATGTAAGTAAAAATAACAGAGCACATGATGTCATCTCCCCAGACTCATCAGTAATTTAACAGGCCTTTTAGCTGGGTCTGTGCTTCAGATTGAGTCAGGATTATTAGATAACAGTATCGTATGGATAGTTTTTCATTTCAGAGTTGTTTTTTAACAGCTAGTAGTGTACTTACAGTTGTGATTTCAATGCTGCTTGGCAGGCTGGTTGGTTAGTTGGATGAATGTGTCGTAGCTGCATGTGTTTTTAATGTGACCTACATAGGGAATGCTTGCTCTTCTTCTCCCAGTTACAGTTGACGTAAGCACCTCCATTCTCACGCACGTCAGCCCCCCTGTTATGTCATCACTTCTCTCTCTCAGTCCCCCCTTTTGTACTTTTGTACTTTTTTCATATTTTCTCTCTCTCACATGGTTTGAAATGAACAGCGGTAATGCGGGGGAGGCAAATAATCAGCTACCGTGGAGTGTGGATCAGGGGAAGAGAGCACTCCCCTGGGTTTCCACAGCAGATTGAATTGAAAAAAGTGGAATAATTGTGTAGATTTTCATTTTTGAAAAGCTTGACATCATTCATACAGCTAGGCCTATTCATGTTATAATGATTTGTTATGATGGATTCTGCATCGTTAGAACAATTGTAGTGAAAGGCACCAATCAATGAGCAGTGCTCTAATTGCATTGTGGGTATTGATTGAACGTGTTGGCTAGTATACAATAAGTCTAAAACGATTACTCGATTTATCGATTTGCAGAATTTGAAACAATTTTGATAAGACTTTCATTGTTTAAGTCATTCTTTAGACATAAATACCAGACATTAACCTGTTCCTAATGTATTGCTTATATACAAGCCATATTAAAACTGGAGCTTTGGGAAATTGTGATGAACATGCTTTGATCAGACTATTTATTAAGATAGAAAATAATCATCCGTTGCAGATTGAGCTTGCAGCAATAACAAATGCAACCATTTCTAGTGTTCAAATCCCGCCTGGAACATCACCACTAGTGTGCCCTTGAGTAAGGCACTTAGCCCTTAGTTACTCCAGGGAGAATGTCCCTGTAAATGTAATGTAATGTTCTTATTTTATTTTTTTTCTTCTGTTCCCTACTGTACATACTTTTCACCAACTTGAATTTTAAAGCTCCTCGTACATTTCAAACCCTTATCTCCAACTACATTTAAATAAGCATTAAAAGTGTTGACACTGTAGCGATCAATTGCTCAAAGCTCACATCCCTGCAGCATCTTGCAGAAGAAGTGTGAGACAGAAAAGTAATTAGCTGGAAAACGTTTCCACTTGAGTACTTGTATGCCACCAACTCACACCTTCAGCTACATATCTAGTTTGGATCATTTCTGGTTCGGTTTGTTGTTGGGGATTAATGCGACTTAATCAAAGTAGAATAGTATTATAGATAAATTGCCTTGCAAATATCAATATCATGAATCAATGAGATTCTTCTGTACCATCTTGGCCACAGATCACAAAAGCATTGAATATCAAATGAAGTATGACTCGTTTTCTGTTTTCACTAAACCCTAAACATAAATATACACATGATAGCTCAGACCTAAAATCATAATGCTTGTTAAGATATTTGATATTTAAACTGCTGCCAATATTAATGTGCAAATTGACTTCAGTTTCACTTACAAAGTTGAAAACTCTATATGCATTTTGACTGCTTTATTACATCCGTCAACACACAGCTACAGAGCACAGGGGTAAGTGAAAGAAAATAAACTTTAAAAGTAGTGCCTGCAGCACAATGTTCCACTTCCTGCTGTCAGACTGCTACCGCTCGGAGCATGAGACCAGGATGGAATTGAGGAAGATAGACATGAGAGGCGAAAGATTAAGGGCCTTTGATGTTTGAATGTGTGTGTGTGTGTGTGTGTGACAGAGCGAGAGGCAGGAGGGGGAAGCAGGAACATTTACCTTCACTTTTGACTCTCTGTGTGGTGCTTGTGACCTTTAGATGTGAGGCATTTGAACTGTATGCTCTTTTTGAACCCATCAGGGGCCTGACTATGGATCCCACTCCGTCTCTCTCAGTGTGGGAGCGTGTGTTGAGCATGTCTGGGGTCTTCTTGTCTCACTTTTGGGAAATTTGAAACGTGTTCTTTGAGATGAAACCCTTTGTCACCTGTTCTCTGAATCTGGATTTAGTTCTCCTTCATGTGACTGTCCGGCGCAAAACTATGTAAGAAATGTGCCAGATATCAAACATTTGCCACAACCCTCAATTTTGGGTATGTCATGATGATGAAATGAGGGTTTGATTAGTTTTATTTTTTTCCCCTGGGGGAATGTATACAAATCTGTTAAAGTAGGAGTGGCTTTTAGTTTAAAGTTAAGCTATTCCCTTATTTGAATTTTAGATATAATCAACTTTACCCTAAAATGATTGCATTTGGAAATCATTTGAAAGCCCAAGGCGTTTTGTTAATTATTATTAGGGCATGTTTCTAAGTGACTGCACAAACCAATTTGTAAAGTGATGTTTTGACTCGCAGCAAGATGGTGAAATATAAATGGGGACGGATAAGTTAAATGAAAGTGTTAACCACGGTTCAGTTTCTAATTTCTAACGGTTCCCTTTCTGTTAATTCTGCATAATTTTCTTTCTGCATGCAGGTGTTTGGAAATATGTGAAGTGTGCAGGTGGTGATAATTGTGTTTCCGTGATTTTCCTCTACCACTCGGGGATCTTTGCCCCCCTCTCACTGCGCTCCGCTCAGATCAAAGGACAGACAGATTGACAGAGGAGTTCACACACATGCTTCCATCGAGGCTGTTGAGGCTGCAACCCAGCACCTCCCTCTGTAACAGAGAGAAGAAGCAGGCTCAGTTGCTCCTTTCCCCCATTGATCAGCAAGCAAAACAGACTCCATTAGGGCTCCGGATGATAGGAGGATTCATTAAGGAATAGAGTGATGGGGAGAAAAATGATTTCCTGGCTCTAGTAAAGTGGGTTAGAGGAAGGATCCCTTGAGTTTAAACTCCCTGCTGTCGTAGCTCGTCAACCCGCTATGATCAATGGTTATCGTGCAGATGTGAGGAGAGAGTGGAGAGGCACAGGAAAACAACTTGGCTTGTGAGGATCTTCTATCATTTGCACAGTCTTTAGTTCGGATTCACAATGTTAAAGGGTTGGTTCACCCAAAGTGCTCACACAGTTTCTGCCTTTATCCCAATAACAGGGAATTGAATGTTATATCGTTTGTGAACACATTAACACATTACATTAAAGAATCATTCAACAGTATAATCTCTTGTCCTGGATAGTTTGAATAATCTACTGCATTTCGTGTTATAGTCACAAAATTGATCTATTGATTCGTGTTCACCAACACGATTTTGCCATTTTTTTTCGTGTCACACAGAACGATTTTAAAAGCAATGTAAATAATAACAAATTAGAAGGAAAAAAAGATGACAAAAAATACAGATGTCAGTATTCTGAGGCTCTGAGCCATTTCTTTTCCTCACGGACGGCAAAAAAACTCCGACATTATACAATTTAAAATAAAAGGGTTAGGCTTAGGGTTAGATATTGAGTAAGAAAATGTTTTTATGAACCACACAGCTTCCAAGACCCGACCGGACAAAAAGACGTGTTGCAGGCACGAAACATACTACCAATAGAAATACATTGCTTTTAAAATCGTTCTGTGTGACACGAAAAAAATGTGAAAATCGTGTTGGTGAACACGAATCAATAGATTCAATTAATTTTGTGACTATAACACGAAATGCCTTGAGACTGGGTTGGTCGATTGTATAACTTATAGGGACTATTTCTGAGGTAGAAAGTAGTTATTGATTTCCAATGCTTAAAACCCGATGTTTGGATTGAACCCAATCAGAAACAGAGTCCAAATTATGCTATAGATTTTAATCAAATAGGAATTTAATTTGGTATATTTATGCAGAAATAAGAAACATATTTATTTTATTTA